CAGAACTTAGAGACTCTCTCTTCATGTCTGTGTTGTGACCTCCTCATGAGCTCTCCTTTTGGACTGGTTTTCAAAGTTCCCATTTCCCATCCAACAACAGTCCCGGTTTCTAAAAATAGGCCTTGCCAACTGTTCCAAGACAGAGCTTTCGTTAAGCCCGTGAATCAGAGTCTCTAATGAACCTCTGCCAAAGAGGCAGCTGCTGTAAAACCCACATCACCTTGCTTTGTGTTTGCTGCTTTGCTATTGCTTTGTTACCTCGTGGTGGGATAATGAAACACAACTTCCCCCTTCAAAGTCCTGGCTAGGAAAGAATTGTCAAGGAAATGAGCACAACCTTCTAACGACGGGAATTCGGCACAAAAAAGCTAAAGAGAACACACTGTGTGCCAGCACTTTCTTAAACAGCAGTAACTTTATTGCCCACAGATAATGCAAACAGTTTCCACCCTTGCTGCAATTCAGCAAGTTTCCTACTTGACAAGGTTCACAGAAAACTCTTTAGTTTTAGAAGTACCCTCTTGTTCTTTGAGCATATTCTCATTTCAGGTGTTTATTATTGCTCAAATCTACAGTCTGGTTGTGATTGGCCACTCAGTCATGAGATATGCAGGATTAAAGATGATACAGGACTTTCAGGACTTCATTTTTAATTAGAAAATATACCTGCTTGGAGGATAGAAAACCATCCCAAATAACATTTGAATTTCTAAGTCCAGACTTGCTTTGGGCACGATACATCAGGATTAACTTTAAAGCAGAATGGAATATCAATAGAAAATAAACTGTACATTGAATTAGAGAACAATCATCTCAGCACAGATTAAGTGTTCACACTAAAGGATGCTGGAGTTGTCTTTTTAAAAAATAAACCCCAAAATAAATAGGAAAATGTCCCTGGTATTACAGCAAAAAAAAGCTTTGAAGGCAAAAAAAGAAAACATCTCAATGAATCCAACACAATTACTCCAAACAGCATATTACTGACTGTAGTTCTGCTCTGCTAGGGCACCTCCCCCAGAATGGGGATCTCATTTCTCTCCAACGAGAGCAAATGTCCTTTCCTCTAGAACCAGGTCCTCACATATAACCACTTTTTGAAGGAAAAGGAGGAAAAAGGAGTAGCCAGGGGTGGAACTTGCCTCCGTAAAGCCTTTCCTAGCTGTCAGTATGAAAGCAAGGGACAGGAGACCTGGCTGGTGTCTTTCCCAAGCGCCCGCTCTCGCTTTCCCTCTCGACAGAAGGCGGCTGGCTGCACAAGTGTTACATTTCAGTTCGGTGCAATTTTCCCCCTCATAGCCTGTCTAAAAAAGGAATTTGAATTTAAAGGCAACAGTAAACCACACATACGTAAAGAGAAAGCTTTGCTCTTTGAAAGTCAGTCCACCGAGAAAATCAGAGAGACAAATTCCTGGGACATGGGAATAAAGGGCAAAACTCTCGCGTTCTGACTGGGGCACAACCATTTGGGTGCTCATGTGGGGTAACACTGGTGAGGATGGATTTAACGCTCTAGAAGCCACATGAAAAACCAACTGAGAAATGATTTAGTGGGTATTCTCCACAGAGACATTTAGCAGCACAGAAACAGAGGGACCTTCCTTCCCTCACACACTATAAAATCCTGCTTTACACTAACATAACACTGCGTAATCTCAATTCCACTTGTTAGTGCCAAAGTGATGCATATCTCTTACAAATGGCCAAATTCACAAGCAAAACATTTAAACCAGAAATCGTTTAGTTCTACATTTATTGCAGATATTAAAAGATTAACAATGCTAACATGTTTACTTACACTAGGAGGAAATGTCAGTTATCCAGTAACATAAACATCTAGTTGCTACTAGCTTAGCACTACTGCCAACTCGCACGGAACAGAAACTAGCAAATTGTTCTACAAGTTAAATGGCAAAAAACCCAACCAAAAGACAGTAGACACACCACTGAAGTTAGTTAAAATGTTCACTGAAGCTTGCAGTCTTCATGGAAGAGAGCCTGGAACTAAAATAACAGAAAAGAAGCTAGTAAACTTGAAACAAGGCAACGCATCTGCATAACAAACGTTTCACATGTACAAGTATTTCAAATATGCTAATCAGCCTGCAAAAGCAGGTCAAAATAAAAGGGAATTCCTTTGGCAAAAGGAGCGTAAGGTCTTGGGAAAACAAGATAAAAGTGGCAGAGGGTAACCCACTTGAGAGCAACACTGGAATCTCAGCACCAGTACTCTCTGCTGATATCTTGTCCAAAACTCAAGTTTGGCACAAGAAAGACAGACCATACAACAGTGATCCAGGGCAGCAGATTCAGATTTTCCCAGTGTTCACCTTTATTCTCAAGACAGCATTATAGTAAATTGAACTGCACTCAGAAGGGACAGTACCATTTCCCAGCTTGGCTGAGGTGTTTCACAGATGCACCCCAACCTCTGCCCACCAGAGCAGTGCAGAATGCTGACCTGGCCCTGAGAGGCTGAAACCTGCTGCGAGCCTCCGCCTCGTGCCTTGCTGCAAACTGCAGAACGAGCATCAAGAGTCCTTCCAAAATGGAAATGCAAAAGAGCAGCTGGACTGGGAGCTGGGGGGAAATAAAATCGGGAATGGCAACACTGGCAGCCTCATCAGTGACACGGAAGGAAAAGCTGAAGCCTTTTGAGTGGGTCTGAGAGAGAAATCAGAGGCCAGTGCCACTGGTTCCAGTGCCATTCTAAACCAGACTGTGACTGACAGATCTCCTTTTTGAAAGGCTCAAGTTTTACAGTGTATTAGGCACAGGAAAGAAAGAGGGGCAGCAAAGAACACCCAGATAGGAACTTAACAGGTAAGCATACACTGCCAAGGACTGTCACTGAGACCTTTCAAGTAGCCTGTGCTCCAAACTGATTAAGGATTTTAAACATCTCCAGGTAAAGCCTATGAGAAACGGCTGGGCTATCAAAAGTCCTTAATCAAGTCTGACAACCAGATAAACTCATTTTTCATATCCTTCATGCTTCAACTTCTTGTAATATAAAGGGTGAAGACATGTGAAGTTCATGGAAAAACAGAACCACCCGTGTATTGTTCTGTACCAGCCAGCGTGGTTTTATTCAGTGATGATATGCTTCAAGGCAACAAAACCAGAGCTATCAGAAAATTACACTGCAACATTATTGTTTCTTATGGTTTCAAAGACCCATAAAGGAAAAAACCCCAAAACTTGCATTCATAAACTAAAACTGGTTGTTACAAGGAAAAGCTTGTTGCTGACGAATGAAAATGAAGACATTCCCTTTCAACCAACAGGGAGTTTAATGGGGAAATAGTATAATTTTGTTCCTTACACAGCAGGCACAGGCAAGCTGGTAACTGAAGAACAGTTTCTTGCATATATGTCAGTGAGGAATGGGAGATGCTGCCACGGGACCAGGGGGTACTATTAGTGGTGGACCATAAGCTCTTTGCCCTGCAAGAAGCATGGTGTGGGATGGGAACATCAGCAAGACAAGCACTCACTGCTAGTAAGCAAAACATGCATCAGCTCAAGATCAACTCTCTTCAAGAGAACGTCAGCAAAGTAGGTTTTGGTACTATAATAACATTCAAGTGAAGAGTTTTGCCTAGTTTTAGAAAGCTAATGATGGGGAATGAACACACTACAAGTGCATTATTAAATTCTCTCAGTAATCCAGTCACAGATCCCTTATTGATGTGCAAGTCAGATAAAGATGAACGATCAGACCTCGAATCTTTCTTTGTGGTAACACTGTGAAATCTTTCCCATCTTCAGAGCTGCTTCACCAAGCAGTCAGGTAATGCTTTTTGCTGAAGCACAGTGGATTAATCCAGTCTTCGCTTTCAGGAAGTTGTGGAATAGTCCCTTAAAAGTACAAGCCTTTTTTTGGTCTTATTTCATGGAATTTTTCAATAAAAGAACTTCTGCAAAGCAAATATTTAAAAGAAACAAACGACTCTCTAAACTGATGGTCTTACGAAACTGATCATCCACTTCCAGATGACTTCTGAATATCTGACTTCCAAGTGTTTTCTTCAGTATCTCCTGCAGCCACATGAACTGCACCTGCTCATGGCTTAAACTTCTCTGAGAAGGAAAGAAATTAGTCAAGAATTTGTTGGAGAAGAGCTGCAAATTCGTGTAAACCCAAAAAGTACACTTAAAATATGTATTACTTGTTTGTTACAGTGAGACCTCAGCAGCCGAGGCTTTCAAGGAAGAGTTTAGTGTTCTCAGACTCAGATGAACTCTGTTATTCATCCTACTTTTAAAGTCTAGATTCCTATATGAAATAAGCACACGGGTAGAGACTCTTCTTAAAACTGGCATGTGGAGGAAAGGAAACTGCTCTATGCAGACTCCAGAAGTAGATCAGAAGATCAGACCATCAACAAAATGTAGCATAATAAAATCTGAACTGCCTTGCAAGATCTGAACTTGAGAAGATTCTTGCTTTCAGAAAGGATCAGAGCCAAAGCAGGCCAAGTCATATTTTTCACGCTGCTTAGTCTGGTTTTTTTGGTAAGCCATCTCATCACAAAACAGGAACACTTGGCCAAAGAGAGAGGTAAGCAGGCACTTCCGAGAACAAAATCAGTTGTTTCTTCCTCAGAAGATGACATCCAAGTCGTTAGCTTGCACAATTAAACACAAGGCTAACATGAATCTTGGAAAATGTTTTAATACATTAGTATTCAAGTCCACTACTATAGAACAAAGTGTTCTTCACACTGGCATGCTCTGGCGAGGAGCTTTCACAAGCAGCCTTTGCATATCCGTGCACTTTCTAGCGAGCGAGTCTTTATGTCAAACCTAGAAAGTAAGATTGGGGGTAACTCAGCAGTTCAAAGCAGTTCAACGTAGCTCTGGATTCTCATGAAATGGTAAGAAGCCAGATATACTCATGGAAACAGTAATATTCTCTTGGTTAAGGAAGACTTAAAAAGCCCTGGTATGTTAATGTTTGCAGGAATTCAGAAAGCAGACGTGTCCATTGCACATACCTATTTACTGGCTCTTTTCTGCCTGTACATTTGTATCATTCTTTGACGGAAAACATCAAATGCATCTTCTTTATTTTCTTCCCCTGCAACACCCAAGCCCTCCCCTGCAGAGGTAGCACCCCTAGGGAGTAAAATGAATAGTTAGAAAACTGTTTCTGTTACATTTGACAATGTGCAGAAGAGATCTAAACAATAGCTTCCAACATAGATACAATTCAAGTGGAAAGTAATTCTGCTTCACTGGGGGGAGAGGGGGAGTGGAGGCTTCGTATCTGGCATACCAGATCAACCATAAAACAATCCCACCTCCCATTGCACATGCAAATACCCACCAGAAGAAAATGCTCCTAGGATATTAAGGGGGCAGTGAAGATACAGTCATCCAACAGATCAAATTCTTGCATGAACTTTAACCATTTTATTCACGGTATACAAGATCCTCTGTTGAAAAGATGGCAAAAATGGCCTCGTTTGTTACATTTCAAGAATGACAGAAGTCAGGGACTTGGAGGAAACACCACATAACTGCATAAAAGATGATAGTTTTACCAAAGGGTCATAATGCTGCTTAAAACGTGTAGCCCCCAAAGCAAGACACACACCACAGACAAGTCCTGCCCTTCCGAAAAGGAAGTGAGTCTTTAACTCCTCTCTTCACCCAAACATGCCAATAGGAGCAGCCAGGCCTCAGCAACATGAAACCAACTTTCTGCCCGGGAAGGAGGTGACCCACAAGAATGCTGAGGTACAAATAATTAAACCCCATCTCTTACTCCAGGCTCTGTGCACAGAACAGAGACATTACAAAGGCAAGATGAATGAAACCTCTGCCACAGGAATGATCAATCCTCTGTGCTAGTTTTATCCTCCACGGCAGAGACTATATAACAAAATCTGTAGGCAATATTCAAGTATGAAAACCTTTTTAGATTGCCCCATATGCTCAGATCGGGTTTGCTGTGCTCTCAGGGTAAAATCTGAGGACATGAAGTAAAGAAAACTTATTCTTATCCAATTTCTGTCATACCAGATCCACGTCAGCCAAGTAGATAGTGCAATTCTGAGAGAATATTCAGCCTCTAAAAAGCAGATTCAACTTTACAGCCCCCAGCAGAAGCCTGGGTGCTGTTTTCCTTGTCCCAAATGGTACAGAGTGTGAGCTGGCAGTTGTATCATCAAGTTCAGGTACGTTTTCTATTGTGGTTAAAAGTGAAGCCACCTAAAAGACCTCCCAAAACGTGGCTATTTTTTCTCTTTTGCAGTATGACCTGTTTGAAGCAGACTCTCCCATTACACAACGGCTGCTTCGTGCTTCCAACCAGAACGAACAGATGATTTTGGTTGGTTGGGTTTCTATTTACACTACAGCTCCCTTCTAGATTACTTCCAGAATAAAAAAACCTGGTTAAAGCCATGAGATCATCACTCAGAGCAGGGTCTGTCCCACAGCAACGCTCTCCTTTTGAGTTGGGGGCTGGGTGTTTGGGGGTTTTTAAACATCTCTTGAACCTTAAACCTGGTCAGACCCACAGCTCAAGACAGGGAACAGCTCTCAAGACTAACTTGAAATTCCATTTAAGATCTCCAGAGCCATCATTTCCATGAGGAGTCACCAAGCAGTTCATGGATCTCTGACAGTAACATACATCAAAATCTCCTCAAACCTGCAAATACAACTTGCTGCCACAGCCAAACACAAGCTTTAAGCTTTCCTAACAAAACAGGGCTTCAAGTTTCTTTGTGTAACAAATGATGTGCCTAAATACATGGGGTTTAGATACCAGCGTTCTACAACGATCAGGGCATGATCTGTACTGCAACTGGAGCCTCTCCAATTATTAATCCATCCCCTCTTGCTCAGAGAATAAGATTAGGCAGCACGTGCAGTTTCAAACAGTTCATCAGTAGAAGAGCTGGTGGTTTTCAAAAGGGAGGAAAGAGGTTACTAAATGAAAGACAAAACCAACTCTGCACTGTGTCAAAGCAACCAACAAGAGAAAGCAAAGTGTTAAATTGCACTGGTTTCATCCTCACTGAGATCGTCCCAGTGTATTGTCCAAAGAATGAGCTGGATGAGACAGTAAGAGAGGTGCACACCAGGGAGATAATCAAAACCACGGAGTGCTCCCTATGTTACAGAAAAGGTCAACACACTCGTGTTAGAGGTACAGAAAGCAGCTCTGCACTGCTCTTTGCAGGTGGCTTTACAAGAGCAACACAGCCATGGACTCAGGCTGGAAAAAACTGTATTTTCACGCATTAAAACTGCAGTTAAAGATGGCCAAAACCATTGAGAATGTGGGGAGCTGACAGACCAGAAACAACCGAATCACTCATGATGAACTGTGCAGCCAGGCTCGTGCAGGAGCTACAGAAACAAAAAGTGACTCAGATTTGGTTCCAACAAGTTTTGAGGTCAAGAGCCAAAGTGAACGTGAGAGCTGTAGGGGAAGTAACCTGCTGTCACCTTGTCCATCTGCTGCTGGAAGAGGAAACACAGAAAATCTAGTGATGGCCACCGGACACAGGGACCACTACGGAAAAAAGAAAGAAACAACCAGAAGTATCCCACCAGCTAAAACGACCAGGAGGGTCCAAGGCACAAAGAGAACACACAAAACCCTGGAGAAAGAAAACTGTTAAACCAGAGAGAAAGCTTGTTGTATGGGTCCAGAGAGAAACAAGTAGTTTCCACCTCCTTATTCAATCAGGAAGCTGAAGGAGGCATCACCCATTGCCGTGCTGGCAGCAGTGGACACTGGATACAGCAACTTTTAAAAGACAAAATGAAGATTCAAACCCAAAAGTATGTTTTAAAGGAAAAAGCACACTTACCTTCTGGCAGATGCACTTACCTCTTTCAGTGTGCAGTGGAATGAATCACGTAATTAGAGTGAAAATAGATGTGTTGCCTGCACCTAGGAGTACTGTGTATGACATTTCTAAAGCCTATTTATATGTTCTGTAGCTGGTGTGGCTGCAAGGAGATCCCCAGGATAACACTATGTGTTAAAAACCCCAAACCTAAATCCAGCAAACAACAAAACCCATCTCCTGAAGAACAGGGGCACCTCTATCTTTAGGGAGTGTCCACACACTGCAGCCTTCATGCTGCAGCCTTCAGGGATGTCAAACTGGACGGCAAGAAACAGCCACCCTCCAGACCAGGCTTTGCCCTGCCTGGCCAGACACACGGGAAGTCTCCACGTTCAGCTTTGCTGAGGCCAGAGGCCAACATGAGGAAGGAAACAAAGCACTGAACTGGCACACGTAGGTGGTGAGAGAAACCTGGTGGCCAGGAGAATCCCAGCCTTTTCCAGAGGTGGCAGATCTCTGCACTGTGTTCCCATTACATACACTTTTACAGGCTCTCGGATTCCTTTTCCTCGTGTACCAAGGCCATGTCCCTCCTGCCAGCCCATCTTCTGAAGCATCTGGAAACCCACATTCCTGTTTGTCAGCTTCTTGTGTGAAAACTCCAAATCTTTTGGTTTCTATGGAGAGAAAAAACAGAAAACACAAAGAGGGTTCTTTTGTTATACAGGGAGGCCATGGATTAAAAAATCCCTCAAATCCCCACCTCCTCCCCAAACTGTGTCTGAATTTCTGGATATACAGGAAGATCTTCTAAGCAGCACTTTACTGGCCACACAGAAAAAGTCTGTCAAAGGGAAAACACCTGCCTGGCCAGTTGTTAGACCGAATGGTCTCATGATTGAACCTCCTTTACAAACACATAACATCTCCCCAGTTGTGGGAAATTACAGCCTGTTTTCCAGACAGCAACGTACTGATTCCTTTCTTCCTTTTTAACTTTTGTGTTTTCACAGAAGACAAGGTTAATGCACGTCTTTTCAATAGTGCTGTAATCACTAAATGTTTCCTTTTGACACAGGTAGTGACAAGCTAACGGGAGCCATGGCTGCTCTCAGGCCTAGTCCTGGCTTTCAGGATCAGGCTCTTTAGGTTTTAAGTTGATTTTATGGCAATGACACATTTTCAGAGGCTGTCTCTTGCAAAGCCAGCTGGCTCTCAGAGTGCAATGACAAACCAGAGGAGTTCTTTACCTTCTTTTTCTTTGTAACTGGGCAACCACGAGGCCTATCATAAGCAATTCTGACAGGTTCATGCACTGCAAGTCAAATCAAAGACAAAATTCAGCTGTAAAGAAAAATTCATGCACAACTCCCCAAGTACATCTAAAGCAGGACTCAACTCAGTGCCCTGGCCTAAAATCAGAACCCACAAGGAAGATCAGAATAGAACTAAGACAAAGAGAAATGGTAAGACCTTTTTCCCCCTCCACCACAAATAAGGTAACGCATGTATTTAGTTTTGGACATATTGTGCCAGCAATACACTGATGGATGATACACTATAAAGGACTTTACATCTTCCATTTTCCCTGAGCTTCTGTAATACTCATAGAAAATTCAGCCTGGACTTAAATGAGGTTATTGTATACAATTTTCATACCACAAATGCCAACCTTCACCAGCAAAAATCATTATGCAAAGACAAGACATTTGTTAAAGCAGCTGCAGAGCACATAAAATCAGTTTTAAGCTACTTTTCTCTCAAGTCTTGGGACTATCTTGACCCACCCTCGCTGTGGACATATTGACAGCATTTGACAGGCCCATCCACAGTTGGAACATGTTTAGTCAAACACTCAAAGTCTGTTCAGTACTCTCCTTAAGTCTGTTAAACCTTCTGTACACTGATCAAATAAACCCCACGAAACTACTACTGGGAGGTTTTTAAGCAGCAGAGAGTGGATAACATTCACATCTACTTAGGGAATATTTAAGGAATGGCAACGTGAACTTTACTATTGCACTACAGTACAAAAACTTACAGAGTTTATTCAGGTTCTCCTTTGTTGGCTAGAGAATTAATTCTTTCAGCCAACAGCAGTCAGCAACAAAGCACATAAACCCCAGGAATTCTTTACTGATACCTACAAAAGATGCTCTAAGTGACACTCACCTTTTGGTTCTTCTATGAGGCAAATCCTTTTGGATGCAGGAATCATACCCACTTTCAGAGACTTGCTGCTGATTCGTTTGCGAGGAAATGGGGTTCCCGGAGCAGGAGCGGACGCCTGTGTCGACAGATTGGGTACAGCACCATCAGATGATGTGGCTAGCTGCACTTCACCTGTGGACATTTCCTCTCCTGGTTTGGAAATCATCTCTTCCGCTAGGTTTTCCACACTTCTACCTGCTGACATGTCATCCTCTTCTCCCTCCTCTGCTTGCTCCATATCCATTCCTTCCAAAGGCTGGGAGATATCCTCCTCAAACTCAGCTTCCTCCTCATTATCTTCTTCCTCTTCTTCTTCTTCATCCTCTTCCTCTTCCGAAATATCCAGATTTCTCTCTTCAGGCTTAGCACTCTCCCCAGCATCAGTTGCTTCTGACACAGCACTGAAGTTAATGGATGGACACAACTCATAGACTTTCATTCGATAGAATTTGAAGGCAGAACTGTTTCGATCCTGTAGAAACCTGAGCAAAAATTACAGTGACATAATATCAGAAAGAGATAGTCTGTAGCTACCATGAAGTGAGACAACAGAAATAAAGCTCTTAGTAATTTTTTGTAGAACTGTAGGATTCCCCAACAGCAGCGATCGTTCTCCTCAGTTCTCAGACTGGTTTATGGCAGCACACCTCAACCTGTGCTGTAAAGAATTCAGTACAATTAGCTTCATCATATAGCTGGAGACACTACGGCAAGATGCCAGGTTGGGATGACCCAAAAGGCGAACAGCAGAGCCCACAAGAGAATTTGGGTCTTCCGAATGTCAGTCATGTGGCCTATGTGGCAACAGGGGTATTGATTCTGAGAGACAGAAGAGACAACAGGGCTCCCTTTCTGCTGGTACAGCATGACTACAAGAGAAAACCTGTGCTAACTTACAGCAGAGCACTTGGGCTACTGTCATCAGAGCCTTGCTTCAAAAATGAACAAGACTGAAACTACTTTGGCAGAAACTGTTTCAAGATGCAAGCTGATCACTTAGGATATCAAAAATAAGATACATCTATCAGTGCATGTTCACATTTGGGAGAAGCGTTTTCCTTTTGTCGGTGTTTCAGATATTCACCATTACTGGAGGTGCTGAGCAGGACAACAGGGAGTATTGCTCAGAAATCCACTGTTCCCAAACACATTGAATAAAAGCACACGTTCAACACACCAGAAGAGGAAATACCTCCTTAGTAACTGCCTCGATGCATTTTGATTTTCCTTACGAGCCCATTCCCACGGCTGAACCTGTGGCTCACTCACCAAAGGTCTGGGTTGTCCGTGCTGTTGTCGATGCTGAACTGCTCAATCTCTGGTCCTACCTGAGCAACAAACTTGGCGAGTTTCTCAGCAGTTTCCATTGTTTTAGCATCCACTGCAAGAAACAGAAAGCTGGTTATCTACAGCTTCATCCAAAACCTGCACTACTGGGAGCTCATTCCAGTTGAGAACTACTTTAGCAAAGTAAGTGATTTTGGTATTTCCAGAACATTCAATGCAATTTTTTTTCTCATGTAACTTACAGTTGAAAATCTAATCTTGCAGCTTCACATACCATCAGGAAACTGAGAGGGCAATGGCGGGAGGAGGTCAGGTGGTGCTGAGAAACCCTCAGAATCTGCCCTTTCTTCTGCTGGCAGAGACACCTCTGAAGCGGCTGCACACTGGGAGGGTGAGGTGGCATCCAGGGAAGAGCTCTTCTCACACAGGCTGGGTTCTGAGGCAGGCGGCTTTGACTGGACTGAACCTTGAAGATGCTTGTCCTGGTGCTTCAGCACTGTCCCAGCTGAAAGCACAGTCTGTGTCCCTGTGGATGCTCTCCTGCCCTTCCTTCCTCGAGCCCTGCGGTGTGTGCTGATCCCAAGCCTTTTTCTTTTGAACAGCCTTCTCTTAATACTTGCCACCTTCCTGGCGTAGAGCATGGCCCGCACGGCTTCTGCTGCAGAGCCTTCTAGTGTTCTGCCCTCCGCACCCGCTTCCGTGCCAGGTGACGTCCGCCTTTGCATCTCTGATAACTTGAGTCTGTAGTACTTGTATTCCAGACTATCTTCATCAGACAAGAACCTAAATAAAATCACATCAACAAAATGAAAGCCTGAGCTGAATTCTCAGAGCAGGAAGTCTGCAGCAATTGGCCCTTTCTTCCAGGGGTGTACACAAGTTGCTAGACTAACATTAGCTTCAGAATAACACCCAACTCCACTTGTACAGCAGTGAGTAAAGCATGCCAAGCAAGTAAATGATGGAGGGGGTTGACATAAATCATTTGGCGAGTAATTAAGCAGCTATGCTGCAATTCACACATTAAGAGACAGTGTCAGATTAAAAGATCATTACACTTGGAAGTGTCTCAACTTTCCTTTTCCAACATTATTTAGAACATGAGATCCATAAGTCTGTCACCTCACTGTGTGTTTATACCAACTACGTTTGCTTCCTATTCTCATCTCGTGCATGCAAATTGCTTTTAACGCCCTGCATTTGGTTTGAGGTGCAGCCATTACTGACAGATCAAAAGCATCATGAGCTACAAGGCAAGACAGAAGCAACAGGACATTTTCCAGGGGTATCAGGAGGTGTACGGAGCTCAAAAAGTCTGATTAAATACACAATAGGCTTTGATCTTACACCCATCCAATGAATACTGGATGTAATTAAGTCTATTCCACGGATCTTTGCCAGCAGGCAGCATTACGACACACTGTTCACACACGCCTACCAATACTCAGGGCAGTTCTTCTGAGCAGTCCTCTCTTTGGCAGACAAGGTTCCTGACACGATGCTGCTCACCAGCTCTTCAATCGTCTCTACAACCTTCCGATCAGCTCGCTGTGGGACTGTGGGGAGAGAGAAGAGCAGTCACTGCATTCTGCTCAGCCACAGAGTATCAATGTGTCATCTCTGTTACTCTTTGACACACTGACATTTGCAATTTTTCAACATTAATGCATAAAAAGGCTGCACTGAATATATAAGTGAAGGAAACCTCAAACTTTCTGGTTGCTCAAGTCAGATTCTAGAACGGTTTATTCTGAGCAGTGCTGTGGTTTAAGAAACTCACCTTTGGCCATCCTGGGCAAGTGAAGCCATCTTTTGAAAGGCAATTACGGATTGCACCAAAGGGATTTTGTGCAAACTAAGTGTATTTGAACACTATTGGGAAGGGGGAGCTCCCAATCGTTCAGTGTCAGTGCTGTAAGACCTCCCTGAGAAAGCACCTGAGGTTCAATTAGGAAAAACCAGATGCGTGTAGTAATGAGTAAGAATGCTTTAGAGAGGATGAACTAGCTGGTCTAATGGAGTAGAGGAGATCTGTTCCTATAGGTGGTAGTACAGAAGCAACTTCCAAGACATCTGCATCCGCTAAAAGCGCTCGTGGTAACACCTCCAGCTTTGCTTAGATGCAGATACTCCCTCTGATGCAGGCAGTTGCAGCTGCAGGCCTGGCCTCCTCCAGGGCTGGCACTGGGGGGCAGCTGAGGAGTCCCAGGGCACGAGGTGGAAATCCTACGTTTCAGTATAAGGATGTGCAGGAGAGGGGAGGAAGGAGACACGCTTTCATCCATAAAGTGCAAAGCAGGTAGTATTTACTACCTGCCTCAGCACTGCCAAAGGTTCACATGGAATTCCCAGAATTAGGAAATCCTGACCTAATGAAACCATTAAAATGACAATAAAATGCTAGTGACAAATAAAGACATTATATCCTGCCAAGTATCTTACAACAGTTTACCCCCTGTTACCTTTTGGGTCAGGAGAGGGTTTTTTAAGCGGTTCTGTGGACTCCTGCTCAGTTTTTTTCATCTGAATGGGATATCCACTCTTTTCCAACCAAGCCTTCAAGTTTTCAATGTACTCCCTTCCAAACAATGTTGAATCATCAAAGTTTGGGAACAACGTTGGTGCTGGAGCCATTTCCTGGAGCCCTACAGCCTCAAGTATTTTCTCTTGCCTGAAAACAGATGCTAAGGCGAAGGTCTGCCCCAGAAGCGCTAAAGACTTACGACAGAGAGAAACAGTGGTCTCAAAAGCACTTGCCATTTCTCTGGGATTCCCAAACCCACTCGTCTTGATGCTCAGCTCATAGGCATTGCAGGCCATCAGCAGTGGAGTGACACCTTTCAGGAGGCGGTCCTGGAGCCTCATTATGTATTTATCAAAAGGCTTGATAATCTCAAAGAAGCAGTTCTTTGTTTTCACAGCACCTTTGTCCAACAGCATGTTTAAAAACTCATTGTCCACTTTGGGAGTTTTGAGAGCAGCATGTTGTAAACTCTTGATAGTAAAGAAACAATAATCTCTGTGTTCTGGCTTCAAGGAGCACTTAAAGGAGGCAAGCATTTTTGCACACGTTTCTGTCTCCAGCTCAAAGAGAGCTCCGAAGAGCCGGGAAAACTCTGCATCAGTTTTTATCGCATGAAACCCAGCCCACTTGATAATTTCTATTCCAAACGTTGAAAAAATATCTGATTTGTCCACAAGGTCAAAATTGAGATTTCGGAAAACATGCGCAGGCTTTGGGAGCCTGAGAATAGGTCTCTGGGTTGTTATAGCTGGCCTCTGATTAGGTTGTGGAGGCAACTTTTGGTTGGGGTGCTGGACGGGACCTGGCCTCTGGCCGGGTCGCTCAGCAGCTTCTGGCAGTTGCTCAGGTTGCTCAGGTGGCGCCTGATCGAGGCCTGGCTGCAGCTTTTTAGTGTTCCACTTCTTGAGGGGAGCTTTGATCTCTCCTTTGAATACTTTAGTTTTAACACCACCCCTTGCAATGCGCTTTCCTCGCGGAGCTCTTCCCCTGCCACTGCTGCCCCTGCGAATCGGGGGTCGGAACTCGCCATCAGGTTGAATTCCAAAGTCTACATCATACTCCTGATTTTCCATGTTGCCATATTCATCTTCCATGAGTCCTGGTGATCTAAAATCACCTAAAATATCCGAAGAACTAAAATCAGTTTCATGTGGCCCAGAGGATTCCCAAGAGTCAGGAGGGCCATAGTCCTGGTCATGAGAAGCCAAGCCCACAAACTCCTGGTCATGGGAAGCCAGGTGCCCATATTCCCGGTCATGGGAAGCCGGGCGCCTGTACTCCCGGTCACGAGATGCTGGGCGCCCAAACTCCCGCTTGTGTGCAGCTGGACGCCGGTATTCCCGATTGTGTGAAGCCGGGTGGCCAAATTCCCGGTCACAGGACGCCGGGTGGCCAAATTCCCGGTCACGGGATGCCGGGCGGCCAAACTGTTCATGGTAATAGTTGTCTTTCCTTACGAGAGGATTGGCAGTCCTATAGGAAGGTCCTGGATAGTCATCCCCAGGGTCTTCACTCCAGTCGTCGTGTGGATGGTGCTGAGCGTTGTCGTGAGCGTATCTTCCATCATCACGAAAACTGTTGTCGTATCTTGGTCTTGGGACTGGCCTCGAGCGAGCTGTAACGGTAAAAGCACAGACACCAATGCCCTGCAGGTAGTGCCAAAAAATAGCTGATAAACACATTCGGACAGTGAGAAGAGTCAACGTATCAAAACTCCTGAAGAGCAGCAACATATCTAACATCAGGATATTCCCATTTGCTTCCTTATGTCCATGGAATAACTGAAATAAGCAAAAAGCCACAAATGAAACAACACCTAAACACACATGTCAAAACAGTTATTAAAACTTCTATGCTCCCTGAAACACCAGCTCTGCTTTATAGTTTGGTTATGTGGTTTAGTTACATGGTTTATACCCCATTTTCCACTTGCTCATAAGTTCCTCAGCCTCGGAAGATGCTCGTGTTGTGCTCATAAGGCCTCTTACTCTGATTGTACAGATGTAAGACTATCAAAGCCTGCACTTTCTGTTTCCACACTCAATGCTGGAACTTCACCAGTTCAGATCTACCCATAGACAATTATCCAAGATAACAATAAAGTCAGACACACCAGAATTGCCTACAAAGGATCCAAGCTTCCCTATTCCCAGGAGTTAAATTCAGAAAGAATAATTGGACAAATTAAGTATTTAAAATATATTATTTCTTCAGAGCTTATACAACTTTAAGAAATTAACTTTTCATTTCCTATGAATGTAACAAGTTGTTGGGCTTTTTTAGACATTTTAAGTGTCAAATTTAGAAAATAAAAGAATCTGCAGATGATGTTTTGTGCATGTTCAGGAGATTAATGTTCTGCTTTTAGCTTCTGCTCCAAAAACTGACATGAAATAAAAGATCCAAAGGCTTCCAGTGCACTCCGACATTTATTTAACTTGTCAGACATCAACAGAATTCCATCCTGCAGCGATGTCTCTGGAGACCTCCTGAAATTGGACCCACTCTCCGATGTAGCCTGAACAGAATTCCTTTGTTTGAAATTCGGTTTTATTGCCTGGAATTTGCATTCCACATCGAATAGTGTCAGCCATAGCAAGCTATTAGCCTCTTAAATGAAAATGGATGTGGAAAACCACCAGCACAAGCCCACATTTTAGGCAAATACACATAAATGGAAGGCAAGAAATGTATCGCAGTGGGATCCACGGCCCGTCACGCCTGCGTTTCGTTACCTTTAAAATGATGGATTGTATCTTCTATGGCATCACCCCGGTCCATGCGATACCTTTTAACTTTGTCCTGCACTACAGCATCAAACGTCTCCCGTGTGATCCGCCGAGAGGCCATTTTTATCCTGTAGCAAAACAGCACAAT